AGATCATGCATGTGGCAATTGGGGGGCCGTGGGCCCATAGACCACGGCATCCCAGCCGCATGGACCATGCGGAGGACTGGCGCGAATCTCAAAGCAGCTTCCGCTCGATGCAGGGGCAGCTGCGGTTGCTGGAAGATGGGTTGGAAAGTGGCCTCCAGGTGCACTTGGACTGTTTCTAGTGTCCACTGAGAGTAGTCATACTGTAGTCATACTGTACCCCGATCTTGGATGTTTCATGGAGAATTTTGATGTCCCTGCCTTTGCAGGGGCTTCGATCCGAGATGCACAGCTCTTTGCGGGAGGACTGCCATCAAGGATTTGAGATCATGTTGTGGGACCCAGAGCAGACTAGAGTGAATTGGAAAAGGACTAAAACTAAATCATCATAAATCATCTCATAACTACCACAATTGCACCATTTCAAGGAAGCCCTTTTTGAAGGGACATCAGTGATGTCCGATCAGCCTGGCGCAACGCGCACCAGGAGCGGCTGAAACGAGAAGTGAACGGGACGAGCATGGCAGAGCAGATGCAAGCTTGGGAGGACCAGACCCTACTTGGACGGTCGCCAAACTTTTTTTTTGACCCATCGCCATGTCACATCAGATCACCATTCACCACATCAAAGACAAAGACCATGGTGCAGAAATGAACTCAGCATCATGTGCCTGCCGTGCCTGCCCGTTGATTTGCCAGGAATTTCACAAACACCTGCGTCAGTTCTATATGGCCCACACTGCTTTGCCTCCAGGTGACCGAGCTTGGGCTTGATATGGCTTGATCAGCATGGCATGGGCTTCCAGCGTTCCAGGTGCAGGGATGGCCGATGGCATGGATGGCGCAGTCGCTGCCTTTCCAACTAAGGATTGAGAGACTCCGAAATGGACATGGCGCGTTTGGCTGAGATGCTGAGATGCTCCCATGATGAGGGCGGAAGGATGGGAGATATCGGAGATATTCCCGAAATCCTCAGAGATTCGGCAGGGGAGGTCTAAGGATTTCATCATGTTTGCCTTTGAGGCCTTTGTGCATTCTCTGCAATTCTGTGATTTTCTGTGTGGCACTTGGCATTGGGTCAGATTCTTGTACCATTTTGTAACCTTCGGAACTTCAGGAGGTGTTTTACCCTGCCGAAGCCCATTGTTTTCCCCTCGGGTCGCTGATTTCATTCTGATTTTGCAGTACTTTAGTGGATCCGATCCACCGGGGGCAATAGGTCCGGCTTTTTCGCCGGGTCTATGGAGGGGTTTTGCCAGGTGTGGCAGCTGGTGGCAGCTCAACGATGATTGCTATAATGATACAATGTAGTAAAGCAACAGGATTCACTATCTGGAAATTTACCATAAATGATATAAAAGGGTGGTAGAAGCCATGGATTTATAATGATTTATATTAATTTATATGGGTGGTGTTCATTATTGCTTTACTCACATGAATCTGGACATGTCACTAGCTTGGTAGAGATCCGTGAAATGACCGTTTACGGACAGGCCATCAGAGGGCCCTTAGAATCCTTAGAAGCCTTAGAATGCCACCGTTGCGTGCCCTCCAATCTGGCCTGCGTGGTTTGACTGGGTTTTAGGATGTGTTAGCATGTTTTATATACTGTAATTATATAGGCAAAATTCACAGCAAACGATGGGTCTCGAAGTAAATATGAAGGGGTTCGTAACGATTCAACTAATTAGTCTTAATTCATATGGCTGAAGTCTGAAGTCCAAGAATTAATTGCATGCAGGATATATATAATATAGATAGATTCATTCAATTCCAGTACTTCAGCAATGAAGCTAGGAGATTCGTCAGCACTTCCGGCAGCACTGCCGCACCTCGCTTCGCTGGTAAAGCATTGTCCAGCCCTGCTGGACAATGCTGGGCTTACAGAAGGGGTCATGCTGAGAAAAAAGTCCTTGGCCATTTGTTAAAAAATCATCCCCACCCCCTTGGGCACCTTTTTTTGGGGGGGGGTCAAAAAATGTAAGTTACAAACAAATGGGGGGGACCCCCCCGTCAAAAAATGTAAGTTACATTTTCGCGACCCCCTAACTTACATTTTTTTGACCCCCCCCTCCCCCCATGAAAAAATAAAAAATTAGGATTAGGGGGTCAAAAAATGTAACTTCCAATTTGTGACCCCCCCCCTCATTTTTTAAAAATTCACGTTTTTTTCTATTTTCCAGGGGGGGGGGACGTGCAGATCGAATCATCTCAAAATACCCCGAGCAATTTTTAATGATAAAATATGAAGTAATATGAAATAATATGAAAACCATTACTTTTTTTGCTGCTATTATATACTCTATTACTACTATTAATTCGTATTAATATTGCTGCCACTAGTACTACTAGTACTACTAGTACTACTAGTACTACTAGTACTACTAGTACTACTAGTACTACTAGCACTACTATTTGGTACTATCTTGTGCTACCTTATTCTGTTTCTATTTATTTTTATACTATCTTCTGCTGTTCCCGGTTTGTTTGGATCATGCACCATCTGCAAGATTGCCTGCAATATTGTTGCTGATGCTGTTTGCATCTGCTTGCTAGATTTCATAAGCGCTTACCTTAAGGTCACGGTCTTCATGTGTTTTTGCAGAAATTTGGAAAACTCCCCTGCAGCTACTTACATGTTTTCATACCAGGCAATCCCAGGCAAAGTGCGCAATGTAACATAATGTAACATCGGATCTGACATTTTCTTGCATGATCTTGCATCAACTTACATGTTTCACGCTTAAATAGGGAGCATCAAGAAACCACTGGAAACCATAAGAAACTTCAAGAAACTATATATTATATTACTATCAAAGGAACTTGTCAATATTTGTGAATGTCGGTGGTGAACCCATACCAATCTTAGTCATCTACAGTGATCTAGGTGCCCCATGTCGTTCTCAGCAGATGCTCCTTCAGGTGCAGTGCCAGCCTAGGCAGGCAGAAAAATGTTTTTGCAAACTTTCTGCCAGCGGCACCTTCTGCTACATAACTTTCTGCTAGCGGAGCCTTCTGCTACATATATTTCTGCTAGCGGAGCCTTCTGCTAGATAACTTTCTGCTAGCGGAGGCTTCTGCTACATAACTTTCTGCTAGGGGAGCCTTCTGCTACATAACTTTCTGCTAGGGGAGCCTTCTGCTACATAACTTTGTGCTAAGGGGAAGCCTTCTGCCACATTTTCTGCTCCTTCAGGTGCAGTGCCAGCCTAGGCAGGCAGAAACATGGTTTGCAAGATATGTCACATTATGATACAATAGCATACAATATGTCACCTTGTGACATAATGTGGGAATCAGATGGCGTAAGATAGAATAAGAACAAGAAGTAGTAATTAAAATGTAAGTTTGACTGTGTGGACATGGAGATCTCCTGCAAAACACCATCATTTTCAACACCTAAAGCAGCCTAGCTTACATTTTCAAAAAACGCCGCCATTCACCAGGCAATTCCAGGCAAACTGCACAATGATACGCACATATGCAATCACATGCACAAAAAATGAACATAGAATATCATCCTAGCCATCCAGAATCTACAGTGATCTAGGTGCCCCACATCGTTCACAGCAGATGCTCCCTCAGGTGCACTGCCAGCCTAGGCAAGCAGCAAAATGCTTTGCAAGATAGGCCACATTATGATACAATAATATACAACATGTCACCTTATGATGCCTTATGACATAATGTGGGAATAAGATCGAATAAGAAGTAGTAATTAAAATGTAAGTTTGACTTTGTGGACATGGGCATCCTCTGGAAAACACCATCATTTTCAACACCTAAAGTAATCTAGCTTACATTTTTCAAGAAACTCTACCACTCACCAGGCAATTCCAGGCAAAGTGCACAATGATGCGCACATATGCACAAAAAATGACATAACATATCATGAAATGACCAAAGGTGATCTCATCTATGCGACGCAAACATGTAAGCTGAAAGCAATAGGGGGGCCAGAATCCCTGCAGCCCACAACACTATCTCAAACACCTTCCCCCAAACAGCTTACTATATAGGCATTATATGGTAATATAATGTAACATCGGACCTTGCTTTTTCTTGCATGATCTTGCATCAACTTACATCTTTCACGCTTAAATACGGAGCATCAAGAAATCACTGGAAGCCATAAGAAACTGCAAGAAACTATATATTATATAACTATCAAAGGAACTTGTCAATATTTGTGAATGTCGGTGAACCCATACCAATCTTAGTCATCTACAGTGATCTAGGTGCCCCATGTCGTTCTCAGCAGATGCTCCTTCAGGTGCAGTGCCAGCCTAGGCAGGCAGAAAAATGTTTTTGCAAACTTTCTGCCAGCGGCACCTTCTGCTACATAACTTTCTGCTAGCGGAGCCTTCTGCTACATATATTTCTGCTAGGGGAGCCTTCTGCTAGATAACTTTCTGCTAGCGGAGGCTTCTGCTACATAACTTTCTGCTAGGGGAGCCTTCTGCTACATAAGTTTCTGCTAGGGGAGCCTTCTGCTACATAACTTTGTGCTAAGGGGAAGCCTTCTGCCACATTTTCTGCTCCTTCAGGTGCAGTGCCAGCCTAGGCAGGCAGAAACATGGTTTGCAAGATATGTCACATTATGATACAATAGCATACAATATGTCACCTTGTGACATAATGTGGGAATCAGATGGCGTAAGATAGAATAAGAACAAGAAGTAGTAATTAAAATGTAAGTTTGACTGTGTGGACATGGAGATCTCCTGCAAAACACCATCATTTTCAACACCTAAAGCAGCCTAGCCTACATTTTCAAAAAACGCCGCCATTCACCAGGCAATTCCGGGCAAACTGCACAATGATAAGCACATATGCAATCACATGCACAAAAAATGAACATAGAATATCATCCTAGCCATCCAGAATCTACAGTGATCTAGGTGCCCCACATCGTTCACAGCAATTGCTCCCTCAGGTGCAGTGCCAGCCTAGGCAAGCAGTAAAATGCTTTGCAAGATATGCTACATTATGATCCAATAATATACAACATGGCACCTTATGGCATAATGTGGGAATAAGATTGAACAAGAAGTAGTAATTAAAATGTAAGTTTGACTTTGTGGACATGGGCATCCTCTGGAAACCACCATCATTTTCAACACCTAAAGTAATCTAGCTTACATTTTTCAAGAAACACTATCACTCACCAGGCAATTCCAGGCAAAGTGCACGATGATGCGCACATATGCACAAAAAATGACATAACATATCATGAAATGACCAAAGGTGATCTCATCTATACGACGCAAACATGTAAGCTGAAAGCAATAGGGGGGCCAGAATCCCTGCAGCCCACAACACTATCTCAAACACCCTCCCCCAAACAGCTTACTATATAGGCATTATATGGTAATATAATGTAACATCGCATCTTACATTTTCTTGCATAATCCTGCATCAACTTACATCTTTCACGCATAGATAGGAAGCATCAAGAAACCACTGGAAACCATAAGAAACTTCAAGAAACTGTATAACCACCAAATGAACTTGTCAATATTTTTTTGAATGTCGGTGAACCCATGCCAATCCTAGTTATCTACACTGATCTGGTGTCCCACGTCGTTTTCAGCAAATTCTCCCTCTCGTGCACTTCCACCCTACGCAACCACTAAAATGCTTTGCAAGATATGCCACATTATGATACAATAATATACAATATGTCACCTTATGGCATAATGTGAGAATAAGATTGAACAAGAAGTAGAAATTAAAATGTAAGTTTGACTGTGTGGACATGGGCATCCTCTGGAAAACACCATCATTTTCAACACCTAAAGTCATCTAGCTCACATTTTTCAAACCACCGCCATTCACACCTTTCAATCCCAGGCAAACTGCACAAATGTAAGCTGAAAGCAATGGGGGGGGGGCAGAATCCATGCAGCCCACCACTATCTCAAACACCCTCCCCCAAACTGCTCACCATATATATATATAATATATATATATATATATATATATATATAATATAGGATCTTGCTTTTTCTTGCATGATCTTGCATCAACTTACATCTTTCACGCTTAAATACGGAGCATCAAGAAATCACTGGAAGCCATAAGAAACTGCAAGAAACTATATATTATATAACTATCAAAGGAACTTGTCAATATTTGTGAATGTCGGTGAACCCATGCCACTCTTAGTCACCACAGTGATCTGGGTGTCCCATGTCGTTTTCAGCAAATGCTCCCTCAGGTGCAGTGCCAGCCTAGGCAGGCAGAAAAATGCTTTCCAAGATATGTCCCATTATGATTCAATATGTCACCCTATGGCATAATGTGGGAATAAGATTGAACACGAAGTAGAAATTAAAATGTAAGCTTGACTGTTTGGACATGGGGATCTTCTGCAAAACACCATCATTTCCAACACCTAAACTGTCTAGCTTACATTTTTCAAAAACCTCCGCCATTATGATTCAATATGCCACCTTATGGCATAATGTGGGAATAAGATTGAACAAGAAGTAGAAATTAAAATGTAAGTTTGACTGTGTGGACATGGGCATCCTCTGGAAAACACCATCATTTTCAACACCTAAAGTCATCTAGCTCACATTTTTCAAACCACCGCCATTCACACCTTTCAATCCCAGGCAAACTGCACAAATGTAAGCTGAAAGCAATGGGGGGGGGGCAGAATCCATGCAGCCCACCACTATCTCAAACACCCTCCCCCAAACTGCTCACCATATATACAAATATATATATATATATATAGTATAGGATCTTGCTTTTTCTTGCATGATCTTGCATCAACTTACATCTTTCGCGCTTAAATAGGGAGCATCAAGAAACCACTGGAAACCATAAGAGACTTCAAGAAACTATATAAATATCAAAGGACCTTGTCAATATTTGTGAATGTCGGTGAACCCATGCCAATCTTAGTCATCTACAGTGATCTGGGTGTCCCACGTCGTTTTCAGCAATTGCTCCCTCAGGTGCAGTGCCAGCCTAGGCAAGCAGTAAAATGCTTTGCAAGATATGCTACATTATGATCCAATAATATACAATATGGCACCTTATGGCATAATGTGGGAATAAGATTGAACACGAAGTAGAAATTAAAATGTAAGTTTGACTGTGTGGACATGGGCATCCTCTGGAAAACACCATCATTTTCAACACCTAAAGTCATCTAGCTCACATTTTTCAAACCACCGCCATTCACACCTTTCAATCCCAGGCAAACTGCACAAATGTAAGCTGAAAGCAATGGGGGGGGCAGAATCCATGCAGCCCACCACTATCTCAAACACCCTCCCCCAAACTGCTCACCATATATATGTATAATATATATATATATATATATAATATATAGGATCTCGCTTTTTCTTGCATGATCTTGCATCAACTTACATCTTTCGCGCTTAAATAGGGAGCATCAAGAAACCACTGGAAACCATAAGAGACTTCAAGAAACTATATAAATATCAAAGGACCTTGTCAATATTTGTGAATGTCGGTGAACCCATGCCAATCTTAGTCACCTACAGTGATCTGGGTGTCCCACGTCGTTTTCAGCAAATGTTCCCTCAGGTGCAGTGCCAGCCTAGGCAGGCAGAAAAATGCTTTGCAAGATATGTCGCATTATGATTCAATATGTCACCCTATGTCTGTGGGAATAAGATGGGATAAGAAGTAATAAGAAAATGTAAGCTTGACTGTTTGGACATGGGGATCTTCTGCAAAACACCATCATTTCCAACACCTAAAGTAGTCTAGCTTACATTTTTCAAAAACCTCCGCCATTCACACCAGGCAATCCCAGGCAAACTGCACAAATGTAAAATCCATGCAGCCCACCACTATCTCAAACACCCTCCCCCAAACTGCTCACCATATATATATATATATGAAATAGGGTCTTGCTTTTTCTTGCATGATCTTGCATCAACTTACATCTTTCGCGCTTAAATAGGGAGCATCAAGAAACCACTGGAAACCATAAGAAACTTCAAGAAACTATATGTTATATTACTATCAAAGGAACTTGTCAATATTTGTGAATGTCGGTGAACCCATACCAATCTTAGTCATCTACAGTGATCTAGGTGCCCCATGTCGTTCTCAGCAGATGCTCCTTCAGGTGCAGTGCCAGCCTAGGCAGGCAGAAAAATGCTTTGCAAGATATGTCGCATTCTGATTCAATATGTCACCCTATGACATAATGTGGGAATAAGATGGGATAAGAAGTAATAAGAAAATGTAAGCTTGACTGTTTGGACATGGGGGTCTTCTGCAAAACACCATCATTTCCAACACCTAAAGACTACTTTAGCTTACATTTTTCAAAAACCTCCGCCATTCACACCAGGCAATCCCAGGCAAACTGCACAAATGTAAAATCCATGCAGCCCACCACTATCTCAAACACCCTCCCCCAAACTGCTCACCATATATATATATATATATATATATATAAAATATAGGATCTTGCTTTTTCTTGCATGATCTTGCATCAACTTACATCTTTCGCGCTTAAATAGGGAGCATCAAGAAACCACTGGAAACCATAAGAGACTTCAAGAAACTATATAAATATCAAAGGACCTTGTCAATATTTGTGAATGTCGGTGAACCCATGCCAATCTTAGTCATCTACAGTGATCTGGGTGTCCCACGTCATTTTCAGCAAATGCTCCCTCAGGTGCAGTGCCAGCCTAGGCAAGCAGAAAAATGCTTTGCAAGATATGTCGCATTATGATTCAATATGTCGCCTTATGACATAATATGGGAATAAGATGGAATAAGAAGTAATAAGAAAATGTAAGCTTGACTGTTTGGACATGGGGATTTTCTGCAAAACACCATCATTTTCAACACCTAAAGCAGTCTAGCTTACATTTTGCAAAAACACCACCATTTACCAGGCAATTCATGCCAATTCCAGGCAAAGTGCACGAAAAATACTGTATCAAAAAATGACAATATATTACATAGGGTATTATCCCAGTCATCTATAGTCATTGAGGTGCCCAACGTGGTTCTCAGCCGATGCATGCCTAGGTGCAGCGTCAGCCTAGGCAAGCAGAAAGATGCTTTGCAAAAGATGCCGTGTTGTGACATCACTTACGTAGAAATAAGCAAAATGAAACTTGTACACACCTGGACATGGAAATCTGTTGCAAACCACCATTTTTTTTTATCACCTCAAGCAGTCTAGCTTACATTTGCAGAAACACCACCATGCACCACTGAAAATGATTGAAAGCTGGGTCCCAAACTTCGGCGTCCAATGCCCCCCAACAGGCGTCCTCAGAATCCGGCAGCATCCGGTATCATCAGGTAACTTGATGCGAAAGTATGCAAAAGTATACATGCCAAAATATGCCAAAATGCGGCCTACATGAAAGGACATGTTTTAAACATTACTAAACCAGATCATGTGTCAGATTGCGGCAAGCATGCGACGAGCGCTTTGATTTTTGCACTCTCTAGCTATCTCTAGCCTTCTCTAACCCATCTCGACTCCTCACATCTAAAGTAACTTTGCCATAGCGCAGTTCTATTCTGTACACACCCTTGCTGACAGATCGAATCGAATTGATTCATACCACAAACTGGCAAATGACACTGTAGGCACTTGTTGGCCCTACAGGGATTTCACAGAAACATCTAATTGAAACCTGCCTTGATTTTTTTCATACCTTTTCATATCCTTTCATGTCAACTCTGCGTTGCGCTGCCAAACTCAAATCATCTGAATCCCAGACATTCTCAGACCAAATGAATCGCCAGTAGCAGCCGGCATCATCCAGCATCCTGTGTGAGCTGAGTTTGTCACTGGAACCTATGATGGATCCAGCACAATCCATCATAAACCACGCAATGCGTTGGCTTTTACCGACTTGCCCGCACTACCCCAGCCACAATGGTAGCCATTGGTGACGAACTGGAGTTCTATGGCATTCTTGCATCTGGTCAAAGCATATCTAATACTACGAGCACTGCTAATACTATTACGCTACTGCTACTACTACTACTACTACTACTACTTCTACTTCTACTTCTACTTCTACTTCTACTACTTCTACTACTGCTACTACTGCTACTTCTACTACTACTACTACTGCTACTACTACTACTACTGCTAATAATAATTATATAGAAAAAATAATATACATATATATCTATAACTATATATTCAATAAACAATTACAGGGTCAAAAAATGTAACTTACATTTTTTGAGCAAATGTAACTTACATTTTTTGACCACCCCCCCTAGTTTTGGACGTTTCCCCTCAAGAAATGTAAGTTACATTTTTTGAGAAAATTACAAAAATGTAACATTATCTTCTTGACCCCCTCAACCCTATTTTTTTGTAACTTACATTTTCTGACCCCCCCCTAGCTTAATAGGTGGGGATAAAAAATCACCCAATTCCCTTAAAAAAAACAGAAATACAAAAGTCTGTGGGTGAAAAATCTTTTGGGGAAAATAGGGGTAGGTGGGATGCTGGCTTTCGTTTTCCCCCTTCTCAGGTATCAAACACCCTTACTTGGTTGATTTTTCTTGGGGAAAAGTGATCACAGGCGCTGACGGAGCTTCACATCACCGTGCAGCAGCAGTCTTAGATGAAGCAGCAGTCGATTGGGTCGCCGTAGCACGCCGACGGCATGATGCCATGATGCAAAAGCGTGGCAAACTGTAATTTTAGTGATTTTAGTGATTTTAGAGTGCCAGTCACTTGCAAATTTTCAAAAGTCGGTGATTTGTTCTTTTCAACCGCATACGATGATCCCGGGCAACTCAGGCCCTCGGACAGCAGCCATTCCCGCAATGTCTTTCTCAGGGTGGCTGCAACTGGGGCCGCAACACTCGCCAGAGGAACCTTCAAACAAATCATGTCAAAAAGGATTAAAAAGGTGAAGTCAGGGAAACTATATCACCAATGTGGTTACATTAATGTATATTAGTGGGCATGTTTGCTGGTTACCTGCTGGTTGCATCCTCATCTTCATTGGCCATTTGCCTATCGCTGGTGGTTCCCCAACTTGCACCGGATCTCCAAGGTCGACAGCAGCGTGCGGCACGTGAAGAAGCTGTTGGCCAAAGAGCTGTCAGCGCGGCCGCCGGGGACGCCCAGAAAGCGCCGCGCTGTTGGGATGGGACCATGGGACCGTGTTGGCTGGGACGAAACCATCCAGTGATTTGTTTTTAAGATTTTCAAGGGTCAGTGATGAAGTGATCGAATAGGATGTTACCATGGCCATGGTTATGGCCAGGAGTCGCCTGGTTCTCCTGCTCTTCGGCCGTGAGCTTCGGGATGAGGAACTGTTGTCCCTGCTTCTGGGCGGCATCGAACAAGATGGTGGGTATGCTTTCTGTCGGTAGAACTGTATGACCTGCAGCTGCATCACGTGGGCGTGTTGGCTCCCCAGAGAACAATAACGGTATGACCGAACTCCTGCAGATATAATAGAGGCAGAACTTATCAGCAGAATCTAGATGAATCTAGCAGATACTAGAGAACTTGAGGGAAAGACAAGATTGAAGCACAATCTGGGGCTTGTGATTTGCCATTTTCGCTTGACAGCGAACGCTGTGGCTGCTCATCCACATGTTTTTGCCTTGGCGGGCTTTCGCCACACCAAGGGTGGCCTTTTCTTTCTCTTTATTAATTTATAGTATAGCTGGGTGAAGCTTGAAACCCTTGGTGGTTTGCCAATGAAACTGGATCCATCCCTCGCAGTGGACAGTGGACTCCGTTGAGGCAGAGAATGGACTTGTACTGCAAATGCTTGCCTCACAAAGCTTCTTGCCTGCATCAATCTCTTCTTTTTCAAGCACATGCGAGTCATCTGAACCAAGAGATTCTTAAAGGGCACTAACTCTTGCCATTTGCGCTTTACAACAGGTCGCGTGTGGATATATTGTCTGCGCAGATGCAGCAGGTACCACTACATAGCCTCTTTGCATCTTTTTGGGCCGAACACTGAACAGACACAACAAGGATACAGGGATGAGTCCCAAGAATTCAGACGGACCAGTATGTTTGGGCGATCCCGCCATTTACAGTGGACGTGCTTTTGGTTTAATAGAATTATATATGCGTCACTCTTATTTCTTTTTTTTGGGTGATTGTGCATGTATATATCATATTGACACATACACCGACACATACATACGTGCATTGCATATAGATTTACAATGACTAATGATTTGCAATGTATATAATTATAATCTATATATATATATATACATAATCACACGCACACACACACATATATATATATATTATATGTATGTATGTATGTAATGTAATGTAATGTAATGTAATGTAATGTAATGTAATGTAATGTAATGTAATGTAATGTAATGTAATGTAATGTAATGTAATGTATGTATGTATATATATATATATTCGCATACATCCACCCACCCACCCCAGCGTGTGTGCGTAGGCCCGATCACCTGTGCACAAATGTTCTACAGCTTCGCTTTCGAAGGTCGAAGACTACAGTGGCAGTCCGGATCACAAACAGGTGAGGGTTTTTTGCCAGCAAATGCCAGGGGGACTTCCACCATTATGAGCTGGGAATTTCATCATTCTTTCGGTGGATTTCTGGATTTTCCATAAAGATCATAGAGATCTCAATAGATTTCAATAGATGTATTGATGCGAATGATGTAATGGAAGGGGTGGGTGTTTTTACTCATGCAGCAAAGACCGGAGGGATACCAGTATTCACTTTATTACGGGATGTACTACCCAATAGTCTGGTGTTCTAGATGTTCCATCTTTCCCATAGATATCCATAGATGGGACGGTAGTCCCCCACTTTTGAATGTTGTTGAGGGAAACATGGCAGGAACTCCGCTAGACCCGGCTACAATTGGTGGAGAACACGGCTTGAACGTCATGGTTTGATGACATGTGGGCTTAAAAATAGGGCGTCCCATTGCTCCCTTTACTGAAAAATCATCTGCAAATTCTGGTCTTTCCATAGTGGTTCACAATACTTCACCCGAGTTGGCAAGTGGGTTATCACACCAGTTCGTCGGGCAAGTACTTGGAGGATCATACTACTTAGTAAGTAGTGAACGACCCTGGTTTGTAAGTCCCCTAAGTACATTTATACTTTATAATTTATATATCCCAGTTTATCCCAGTTACAATCCACCAATAATGGTTCATTTTCTGTACTTATATCCCCATTTATATGGATGGTTACAACCCCAGTACTAACCAGTTATTGGGATGATCCTCCAAGCGCTTAAAGCCCAGCATCAACGGAGCCAGGATGCGATGTTCAAGGTCGTCCTCGCTGGGGCAACGCAGCTCAGCTATCGGAGAGCTGTCCAGGTGGTGCAAGGAGCCACAAAAAAGAAGAGACGAAAAATAGAGATCCAATACATGATATTTCCCTGATATTTATAGGATTTTATAGGGATATTTCACTAACATCTAATGTGGGTAAAACAATACCATAAATCATCCCCCAGTCATCACCATTTTTATAGGTGGTATAAAATGGTATAAACCATTCCCAAATCTTGTTTTAGCCACATTACATGAAAACCATTGAAAACCAGGCTTTCGTTTTTGGGTATTTAGATGATCTATAGATGTATGGAAAAAAGATCGGCACAAGGGATTGCTACTTATTTGATGCCTCAACATTTGTCACTAGATGTCACTAGGTCTCAAATGAATTCATGGATGAATTGTAGCGACCGAACCCTGCGACGTCATTATACAAAAATAGGGGTACCTCAAAATCATCCATTTTGATCCATGTTGATAGGATTTTCCATTAAAAACTTTCCATTTTGAGGTACCCCATTTTAGGACCCCCCCCCCACATGTTTATATATAATTATATATAATTATATATATATGCATATGCATACATACTGTATATATCTGTATATATTTCTGTATATATCTGTATATATATATACACACTATATATATACACAATATATATATAATATTATATATTTATATATATATAATATTATATATATATGTGTGTGTATGCACAACAAACTGTAGTGTCACAGTGCCACAGACTTGTTCTGCTCCGAGGGGTGCTGGGAAGACCAGCATTCTGCGGAGATTCGTCGAAGGAGTGGAGCCGTTCGGAACAACGTTGCCAACCCTCGGAGTTGATGTTGAAACGACCCTTGGATCAATGGATTTTGGTCGTTTGAACATCACCATCTGTAATAGGTAAAACATCTATTTTCTATGGTCCATTTTCCATACTGTTAAATTACCAGAGGGTAATGGTGATTTCATGAAATTGCTGAGTAATGGTTTCGTTACTGATTTATAGTTAGCAAGAGATTAATCCATAGGATTACTACGTAGAAATGGTGATTGTAATGGTGAGTAATGGTGATTTAATGGCGAGTAATGGTTTCGTTACTTTGTGGTAAACCCAATGCCATATAAATCCTTCCCAACATCACAATTCTTAGGGGTGGTAACTATGATCCCCAAATGGTAGGTTTATGGCATTGGGTGGCCAACACGAATGAGAATATTTGATCGGATTTTAACCAATTAATGAACATGAGGATATAATGGTGATTCTTCAAGACACAAATTCATTGGCTTGATTTATTGTTGGGAATATCTACAAAAATCAATGTCTTGACTACAGGAAAGGAAGGATCAAAATCTGGGCTCAAGGCGGGTGGAGACTGCAGTGTTCCATTCGCAATCGAACCGTAGTAACTTAGTAGCAGTAACGGTATCTAGTAACTAACTTCAAGATCTTGATGTATGTTAAGATATAAATCCATAAGAAATTCCTTCATGTAGAGCCTGTCACGACATGATTACCCTCCGGTAATCAAACATAGCTAGCTGGACAATTCCCCGTCCGCGATCTTGGCTTTCATCTTGCGTTGCGCACAGCTTAGGCTACCTGTGCGTTGAATGCTGCCAACATCATCATCATCATCAAATATCATCAACAACATCAACTCAAACCCTAAAGCCTAAACCCTAAAACCCTAAACCCCAAACTCCTTGAACATTCCCTTGAATATGAAGTTCAACGGGGGTGCGGATTTGATGATTCCCTAGAAACTCTGTTCCATGTGTTGAAGCATGTTGAATATTCCCTTTGAATGTAAAGTGTAACACTCCCTTCAATATCCCCTTAACAGTTGTGTGGATGAACTGGGGGGTTTGCGCGTACCATTACTAACCATTGTTAGCCACTACTACAGTAACCATTCCTATACAGCCATTATTACTAGCCATTACTAGCCATTACTAGCCATGAATTCCTGATCATTATCCCTCAACCAAGGAAGAAGTTACTGATCGATGATCCTTTGCTGCAAGTCATCCTACCGCTGGGCCATGGGGATTTCTGGGGATATATTAGCATCGGCCGGATATACGGTATACGAACTAACCAGCTTGAACAAACATGCAGGGTATTCAAGGTTGGCAATGTCACACCCATACGCACTGAATGTCCCTTTTGTTTGGTACCTGACCCAACATGTGACATTTAGATACATTTAGCGGGATCGTTTTAAAGAGCAACATGTGATCAGAGGAGAAGGCCTGGCACAGTTGGCGATGCGATTGGACAACTTACTGTAGGCAGTATTTTTTTGCTTTCGCAGTCTGTCACTGTAGAGGCTCTCATTGCTGGTTGTTGGGGTTTCTACAAGGACTCAGTTCGCGTCAGCCTTCGCCTGTGGGACTCGCAGGGGAGTCAGACTGCTTGCGGCCCTGGACCCAGGATGTCTTGTGGCTGGAGCATCGTGTTGTTCAATCAATGCAGAACTCACAAGTGCCGAACTGGGTAGTTTCATCACTACTTTTGAAGGGTATCATCCCCATTCATCTGGTAAACCTAATGCCACAACCCCCCAAAGTCACCATTTTGATGGGTGGTATGTGTGCCATCCCCAAATCGTAGGCTTATTATTATGATCATCATTCTTACTAAAACTGTTATTGTATATGATTGTTCTTATCACTATCACTATTATTGTTATTCTCTTTTATATTATTTCATATTATTATTAATTATATATTATATTATTATATATTATTGTTATTACATATTTATTTATTATTATTGTTATTATTATTATTTATTATTATTCTTATTCTTATTCTTATTATTATTATATATGTTATATATTATTATTGTTATTATTATTGTTATATTATGTGTTATTATTGTTGTCATTATTATTTTCATAAAATTACTACCACCTTTTTTATATACTATAATATGCTATTATTGGGTTTCATCCCCATCAGGATGATCCAAAATCCCATAGCTCCAGCCGTGAGGCCTGGAGGAGGGAGACCTGGCCTCGCTCTATGCGGGCGCCTCCCTGGTCTTGCTGTGCATTGCCATGCATGAGCCGTGCCAGGAGGGGCAGACGGTCTCCTGGTGGATGATGAGGATTTGTTTATGGGATTTGAATTCAAAAAGGGATTTGAAGTAGCGAGAACTAGGGATTTTCATGGAAGTTGAATGGGATTAATCCCCTGGTATTCGCGTTGGTACCTGGGTACCTGCCTCAGATGGATAAACCGGGTTGGTGGGCCTGGATGACAAGTCCTGCGAGGAACTTTCAGCCATGCACCTCTTAGCCAAGAGCCACAGCGAAGCCGTGATGGCCATTGTAGCTGGCCAAGGTTTTGGTCCAGAAATGTTGGTAAAATTCCCCTGATATTTATAGGATTTTATAGGGTTTTATAGGATTTTATAGGGTGTTTTATAATGTTTTATCAAAGGAAGTTTAGGGGGAGAAACTTCCGTGTTACGGACTTTTAGAATGTCAGGGAAAGAGTTAGTCAAAGAAAGAGTTAGCAAAGAAAGAGTTCGTCAGGGAAAGAGTTAGTCAAAGAAAGAGTTAGTGAGGGAAAGAGTTAGTCAAAGAAAGAGTTAGGAGGGAAAGAGTTAGTCAAAGAAAGAGTTAGCAAAGAAACAGTTAGTCACAGAAAGAGTTAGCAAAGAAAGAGTTCGTCAGGGAAAGAGTTAGTCAAAGAAAGAGTTAGTCAAAGAAACGGTTAGTCAGGGAAAGAGTTAGTCAAAGAAAGAGTTAGTGAGGGAAAGAGTTAGTCAAAGAAAGAGTTAGTGAGGGAAAGAGTCAGTCAAAGAAAGAGTTAGTGAGGGAAAGAGTTAGTCAAAGAAAGAGTTAGTCAGGATATATGAGGTAGTCAAAGAAAGAGTTAGCAAAGAAACAAGTTAGTCAAAGAAAGAGTTAGTGAGGGAAAGAGTTAGTCAAAGAAAGAGAGTTAGTCAAAGAAAGAGTTAGTCAAAGAAAGAGTTAGTCAAAGAAAGAGTTAGTCAAAGAAAGAGTTAGTGAGGGAAAGAGTTAGTCAAAGAAAGAGTTAGTCAAAGAAAGAGTTAGTGAGGGAAAGAGTTAGTCAAAGGGAAAGAGTTAGTGAGGGAAAGAGTTAGTCAAAGAAAGAGTTAGTCAGGGAAAGAGTTAGTCAAAGAAAGAGTTAGTGAGGGAAAGTCAGGGAAAGAGTTAGTCAAAGAAAGAGTTAGTCAGGGAAAGAGTTAGTCAAAGAAAGAGATAGTGAGGGAAAGAGTTAGTCAAAGAAAGAGTTAGCAAAGAAACAGTTAGTCAGGGAAATAGTTAGTCAAAGAAAGAGTTAGTGAGGGAAAGGGTTAGTCAAAGAAAGAGTTAGCAAAGAAACAGTTAGTCAGGGAAAGAGTTAGTCAAAGAAAGAGTTAGTGAGGGAAAGAGTTAGTCAAAGAAAGAGTTAGCAAAGAAACAGTTAGTCAGGGAAAGAGTTAGTCAAAGAAAGAGTTAGTGAGGGAAAGAGTTAGTCACAGAAAGAGTTAGCAAAGAAATTGTTCCCTCACTGTAAATGGGATTGCAAGTGGTGCTGGTGGAGGAGTTGCCGATGGAGTTTTGGAGGAAGTCTCGCACGAAATGCGTTTTGGAGAGATAGCAGATGCACGAAAGCCTATGTTTTTCCATACAAAGTCCGTCCCCGAACCTCGATGATCTACCTCTGCGGTGCGACGGGTGCGAGACGGTCTCGTGTGTGGTCGGATCATGGTCGGATATTCTCGGATCATTCTCGGATCGGTTCCGCATTGTAAATGGGGTGTCACCTGTGTTTCGTGCATTTGTGGTCGACAGAATTCCATTGTGATTTGCAACTGTAGGATCGTTCCCGCATTGTAAATGGGGTTGCAAGTGGTGCTGGTGGATGAGTTGCCGATGGAATTCCATTGTGATTTGCAACTCTAGGATCGTTCCCTCACTGTAAATGGGGTTGCAAGTGGTGCTGGTGGAGGAGTTGCCGATGGAGTTTTGAAGGAAGTCTCGCACGAAATGCGTTTTTGAGAGATAGCAGATGCACGAAAACCTATGTTTTTCCATACAAAGTTCGTCCCCGAACGCCGATGATCTACCTCTGCGGTGCGACGGGTGCGAGACGGTCTCGTGTGTGGTCGGATCATGGTCGGATATTCTCGGATCATGGTCGGATCGGTTCCGCATTGTAAGTGGGGTTTCAACTGTTTTTCGTGCATGTGTGGTCGACAGAATTCCATTGTGATTTGCAACTGTAGGATCGTTCCCGCAATGTAAATGGGGTTGCAAGTGGTGCTGGTGGATGAGTTGCCGATGGAATTCCCATTGTGATTTGCAACTGTAGGATCGTTCCCGCAATGCAAATGGCATTGCAAGTGGTGCTGGTGGAGGAGTTGCCGGAGGAAGTCTCGCACGAAATGCGTTTTTGAGAGATAGCAGATGCACGAAACCCTATGTTTTTCCATACAAAGTCCGTCCCCGAACCTCGATGATCTACCTCTGCGGTGCGACGGTTGCGAGACGGTCTCGTGTGTGGTCGGATCATGCTCGGATCATTCTCGGACCATGGTCGGATCATGGTCGGATCGGTTCCGCATTGTAAATGGGGTTTCAAGTGTTTTTCGTGCATGTGCGGTCGAGAGAATTCCATTGTGATTTGCAACTGTAGGATCGTTCCCGCAATGTAAATGGGATTGCAAGTGGTGCTGGTGGATGAGTTGCCGATGGAATTTCATTGTGATTTGCAACTGTAGGATCGTTCCCGCAATGTAAATGGGATTGCAAGTGGTGCTGGTGGATGAGTTGCCGATGGAATTCCATTGTGCTTTGCAACTGTAGGATCGTTCCCGCAATGCAAATGGCATTGCAAGTGGTGCTGGTGGAGGAGTTGCCGATGGAATTCCATTGTGCTTTGCAACTGTAGGATCGTTCCCGCAATGTCTAGAAGGTTTCACATGCTTTGGTGGACGAGCTGAGGACGTAATACCATTGTGTTTTGCTAGGGATTGTTGCTAATCGCATTGTAATGGCTGCGTGAACTTGCTGCAGCTGGATTCTTTCAGATTTTGCCTGCTTTCATTTTCTATTTCAATTCTTTATAAAAAACGCTTCAAAAATCAACTTTTTCTGCTCTGGCGTCGAGATCCGGTTTTTGGAGCTACAATTTCCGACGCCGTTGCGCGTAGTTCTATTGTGTTTTGCAACTCAGTCTCTGCAGATCGCATTGTAATGGCTGCGTCAAGGTTGCTGCGTGCTGTGGCTGCATTCGTAATACTATTATATTGTCTTTTGCAGCTGGACTTCGTAAATCGTATTGGAGTGGCTGCATGAAGGCTGCCACAGTGATTTGTCAGCAGATTTTCTCCATTTTGGCGCTAATGATTTTCCTTCTAAAAAATCCTTTTAAAAAGTGCTTCAAAATCGTCTTTTTTTCGCTCTGGCGTCGAGATCCATCCGGTTTTGGAGCTACAATTTCCGACGCCGTTGCGCGTAGTTCTATTGTGTTTTGCAACTCAGTCTCTGCAGATCGCATTGTAATGGCTGTGTCAAGATTGCTTCGTGCTGTGGCTGCATTGGTAATACTTTTGTCTTTTGCAGCTGGATCTCGTAAATCGTATTGGAGTGGCTGCATGAAGGCTGCGACATGGATTTGTTAGCAGA